CGGAGGAAACTTTAATTGACGTTCGCGGTACGGATTAGCGGGTAATTAACAGCCGCCGTTTGTCGCCCGGCGTACGTACTGCGTACACGCCGCGTATGCGGCCACAATGACTTAGCTAATTGGTTGATTGCGGCGCGCTAATTTGCACGGCCGTAAATCGCGCACACGCAACGTGCGTATATGTGTACAGGCAGACGCTAACGGCGCGCAAATGTAGCAGAAACGATGCAGTTTTTCATGCCGAGGGGAACGACAGCGAATGCATTTGCACTCTCCAGGATTCTGCATGTTCACACTACATCGTTGACGTGCAGCTTATAAGGAGCGAGGCAAATTTGCTTAGATTATTTTCTTTTTGGTTAACTAATTCTCGGATTAAAATTTTTCGTCGAGCCCACATTGAGAAAAGAGAATTTATTTGAGAATTTTGACCTTGCTAGACTTTAATTTAATTTCAAAGAAACGATCTTTTTACCTTAACCAAAATTTCATTTGATCGAGACTGGAATTTCTAAGAGAATTCACATCTGTTTCTTCAAATCTAGCAAATGTTCTAGTAGAAGTAAATAAAAATTTAGTAGATTCGAAGAAATATGACTTCGAAGTATCTCATGTGTTTAACCCAACTAAATCTTTTTTCAGGGTGTAAGTCAAGATTGATGAGTTGGGTGTAAAATAAGTTTTCTTTTTCTATTACCTCGCGTCACTTTGGGACTTAATTTTCTGGCAAAGCCGTATTTTCGACCGTACGTCAAGAATGACGAAGGACCCGGAACGCCCTGAAACACACTTTTGCGCTCGATAACAGAGAGATATAACGAAAACTAATATAGGTGCACGATTTTATTGGTCGTATTAGCAAAGTAATACCTCTCCGCGTTCCCCCGCGAGATTAATCACCGGTTACAGCCCTGCAATTCGCTCTATCATTTCTAATCGAGCGTGACGTATCTAATTGAACATTCATGATATTGTCAAGGCGCGCGGAACAGCCCGACGGAGAGAAATAAATGGGCGTTCGCGAGATCGAACTCGCGGTAAATTAAGTAACGTCGATGCGACGCAAGTTACCACTCGTTTCGCGATGGAATCGCGCTAAAACACGTTCTCGCCGATGTTTATTACGACGTACACTTGCGACACATAAACCGGCTATCGTTCATTAATCCGCGCCGGGAATAACTTCGAGATAACGCGTAACACACATAGTGGTCGCCATACACAGCCGATGATTTGTATAATTTTCCTGAAAACAATTTGCCGCTTGACATTTATAAATTTGCGCTAATTAAAGATTTGCGTGTTCCCTGACATTTCCATTTGCATATTGTCGTTTAAAGCTATTATAATGTCAATCAAAATTACTCCGCCATGTAATTGACGTTAAAGTGATAACGTCGTTTCTTTGCAATTATCTTGGATTTATCTACGACGTATGCAACTAATAATTTCTAAGATATAAACATTCGTTGCAGAACGTTCGCTTTAGGTCACAAGTTCTTGGCATGTCAAAGGAAAAGCTTAGCTGATTTACACAAATGTCGAAGTCATGTTTCTCTGAATCTACTAAATTTTTATTTACATCTACTAAAACATTTGCTAGATTTGAAGAAATAGATATGCATTCTCTTAGTAATTCCAGTCTCGATCAAATAAAATTTTGGTTAAGGTAAAGAAATCATTTCTTGGAAATTAAATAAGAGTCTAGTAAGGTCAAAAATTCTCAAATAAATTCACTTTTCTCAAACACTAAAATCTACAACCATCCGTGCGTTTATTTCCTAATTTCATTATCTCTGCGCGCGAAAGGAAGTTCCGCGACGAGGATAAAAAAGATCGACTCGCATGATCACAGGTGCGCGATTCTCGCGGGCGATGCTTGCCCGTTCGATTAGGTCGAGGAATTTAATATGCCTTATCGCGAGAGAGCGAGCGCGCTTAGAGAACGACTCCCGATTCCGGCACGCGGTGAAATTATAGTGTTTACGTGAATTAGATTTCGGTTTCGGTAATTTTCAGTTAATAACGACGAGGCGAACTGGCCGGCGAGCGAACGCTAAGTGCGGCCTCAGGCCCCATTAATGCTATTATAATGTAAAAGGCTACCTACACGTCCTCTCTCTCTCTCTCTCTCTCTCTACTCTCTCTTTCTCTTCCTCTCCTCCTTCTAACTCCGTCTTTCTTTCTCCCCCCCCCCTGCTCCGCCTCGCTCTCCTTACGCGTCGATGAACTCGTAGTTGCACACGTCGCGAGCGTACGCGAACAAAAAGGAAAATCCGGCGAGGTTTAGGCCCGTTGTATATTATCGGCATTACGTCGAGGCTACCTGCATTATAAGCTCATTTCCGATAAATTGACTCGATTAAAAACTGCCGCTTAAGAACCGCGTAAACCACTTCGATCCTTCCCTCCCCTCTGCCCCGCGCCCGTCTTTTCGACCCTCGCTTTCTATCGAGCCGCCCGATTCTAGAAATTTACTCGATCGGCTGCCGTTTTCTCTAAAGACTTCGCATATGAGCGTGTACCGATACGTACGTAACAGCTACGTTTCACCGATATGCGCGGAACGTGACGGGGATACTCGTAGTCGTAGCGAATTAAGCTTCTTGCAAAATTTAAAATGGTCTACGTGAAATCGAGCGTCTTACATTTATATGTACACGGAGAGAATGTTTTCTTAAAATTTATCCTGAAAGCCACGTCATCGTGAGTCACAACCCGAGTCGAAATTTTGATACTATTTTGACATTTTTAAGAATAATGTACACCTACTTAGTTGATCTATACACCTACATAGACCAGCAATAACTACTTTGATGACATTGTATTTTTACTCCTCCCTTGAATCTTTAAATCTAAAAATTTACTTTAGCTCCTACTTAAAAGGACCTACTGTAATGTTAAATTGACAAAAGTTGTTCAAAATGCCACGTTGCCCCACGATTACGTGATTTTCGGGGTAAATTTTTGAAGAGAAAATTCTCCCCGTGTAAGAAAATAAAAAACATATGCGGTTGAATGCTGAATACTTAGGTACAATTTATGTGCATGTCATGTATGATAAAAATTTTAATTTTATGACTCGGAGAGGTTAATTGTCAAAGTTTGCATTCACACGTCTCTTGTAACACAGAATTACTTTTCTTTATTTGATAAATAGAATATAACGCGAAACTATTTAGAATTGTTCAACGATATAATTTAAATTAATACTGATGGTTCCGCGACGGTCTTTGAGCTCTTATTTTGGCGCAATTATTCGTTTCTTCATTTATGCATTAGCCGGTAGCAGCTTGTAATCTTGCCTCACGAAGCCACCGGTTTGCGGATATTTATTGCTAACGATTCCGTTACAAGTTTACAAGTAATATCGAACGCCGTTACACGATCGCCACGATGGCGGGACTGCGAGGTGCGGGCTCACAGAGATCATTAATTCCTACGAGGTAGAGTCGTGGTGAAAGGAGTGATATCCCTGCCGCACACGCGCTTATGTCAGCATTTGCATCTAAAATTTATTTATTCCGATTCGCCTCTTTTTGCCTAATATATGATAATAAGTCACGCGCGTGTGCGTACACCCATATATTTCCTAATCTTATATTCGTATTATGTATCGTTTAATATTGATGTTTATTAGTTCTAACATATCACACAGTAGACATGTTATTAGAGAAAATTAATTAATCCTCTTTAAACTCAGCTTTATAAAATTAGCACAATTTATCACTTCGAGAAAATGTCAAACTGATGTATATGTTTCAGTCCGTAGACTTGTATCAATTTTTTTGTTAATAATAGATTTCCTTTTATTTTAGGACGAGCTTATTGTTATAGAGAGAGAGAACTTCGTCTAATTTGTAAATATATCAATTAAATATTATATATCAAACTAAGATACCTAATACTTTATAATACATCTGAAAATTGTATTTTCCCGACTTGACAACCGATTGATATTATACCGATACCTCTCTCCTGCGCTGATTATGGAGAGATACTTGGCACGCCAGAGTGAAATTGTTCAAAGCTGGTTTTTATTTAGAGACGTAAAACTTCTTACAGCTTAACAGCTGCGTTAATGGTTAGTCTAATTATACAGCGGTCACTCGGTAGATCTTTCCACGAAGGCGGAAATTTGAAGCGCGGAAATTCCAAATCCCGAGATGGTTTACGGCCGGCGCGCCGAGCAGGCCGTCGTTTAAATCCGCTCGCAGCGGAAACTAGACCGCAGCGATTTCCCTGACCGTTCGTGGAATCCGATCGTCGCTGATAACACGTTGTGGTCACCGCCTCACGTGACAGCTGATGAATCGTTTCACACCACATTTGCGTTTCAGTCGCGATCAGATGGTCTAACGCGAACCTAACGTTGTCCCACTCATTTTAAGGTACCAATACCGATTCGTTAATGAGATGTGTGTATAATGCGCGCTTCCATAAATTAATATCTCGTTTTAAACAACTGACAATGACATTTAAAGAATTATAACTATGTGCAAACTCAAAATTGTGAAACGTGTGTAAATGTGTGAATTAACACATGTAATTTCAGACCATGTGTGCAAATTCCAATTTTACTTGCAGACAGAATTTTAAACCTTGATATTGTTGTTTTATTTTTGCAATCATCCGATGCAATCACCCAAATAATCTAATGTTGTTTATAAAACCGATTTTATGTCGCAACGATTGACATTGTTGAAAGATTATAGATTAAAAGTTGAAAACTTCTCTAATATAACTTGTAAGAATTACAATCTGGGCCGTGGTGCGATTCGATTCACAAAGTCTTATAGCCGACCTAAAATTATATCCACAAAATAAAATCTGGACTCACGAAAATTACGCTGGCTGCACAGTCCATGACCCGAGCAGGAACATACAATAAGCTCCGAATCCTCGTGACACCTGTAACCATATTATACTCGCGTTAGTTTAAGTGGCAAGAAGATGTCTCTGTTATTACTCGAGGGTGACGTAATTATTTTTCTATGCAGATCATTCGTCGCGTGGAGGCAGCGAGCAGGCCGTCCCGCAGACGAGTCCTGCGAGCAGCACGAGCAACTCGAGCCAGGTGACTCAGGTGAGCCAGCAGGTGAGCCAGCAGGCGAGCCAGCAGCCTCACCCGCAGCCTCACCAGCAATCGGCGCCGACGTCAGCGACGACGACGACCACGACACCTCAGTCCACCCAAATGGGCATCTCTACCGAGGAGGTAAGGCCCGAGGAAGAGGGCACCCACCCGCGAGCGGCGCCGACCAGCCCCGAGAGTGAGGCGGAGGCCGACGACTTTGCGCCCAAGAGAAAGCAGCGTCGCTACAGAACGACCTTTACTAGCTTTCAGTTGGAGGAGCTTGAAAAGGCCTTCTCCAGGACGCATTATCCGGACGTGTTTACGAGGTGAGTCGTCTGACCATCAAGCAATGTTCCAATAATCTCAACTCTTTATCTCGACTCAAATGGCCGGGATGAGTGGCGTTCAGATGGAATTTTATTTGGGTTCGGTATGCAAAGACTGTAGGCAATGTGTGATTTCCAAAAAGCATAAGTTCCTCTAAACTGAAATGCGTACCGTTACACGTACTTAGAACTTGCCAAGTGAACAGACGTATATAGAATAGTGCAAAACAAATGACTCTCTAAGATCGGAACAAAGTTTTAAAATTATTATAGTATAACAACTACTTAATTTAAAACTATTTTTGCATCAATCTTATACACATTTATAGCATTAAATGTTAGCTGCGTAATTAATGCAGCTGATTATCGGGCATTAAATTAATTATCATTTGATTCAAATAAAACCATATTTAAAATCACCGTTACAGTTCAATTTCGAGCTGGTTCATAATTAATGTAACGAAATGTATTTTTTTCCCCTTGGAATTACACTGGATTAATTACCCGTCACTTAGACAAAAATGTTGCATGAAATCAGAAAACGTGAGAAACTAACGAATGTAACGTTACGTAGCCGTTGGTAATATTTCACGAGAGCATTCGAGCGAGGATCAATTGTCACAAAGCTGTTCCGAGTCGTAATCCTTCTTCCAAAGACAATCCTGACTAAGCGCCTTACGGCATATCTCAGAGACGGGATAGAAAGCTCGTGTAACTCCTGTGGATCCAGACGATAGGCGAGGTGTCTAACCGCATTTATCAGACTTTAGAAAGAGAGGGGAAGGGCGGAGTAACGGGATTTAGATACAATTTAGGTGACCGACTATCGGCTGCCACCCAAATATTTGGTTGTCTGGCTCCTGTGCACTCTCCGGACTATCGCCGATAGCGTCGGTCGCTACTTATCAAATTCTTTTTCAAAAAATGGTCTCCGCCGCAAGATATTTACGGTGCACAGGTAGTCCTTGAGCACGGTTATAAAAGAGATCTGGTTATCCTAAGTGTATACTACCTGAGACAGGCCTCGAAATAATGATGACCGAGTGACGGCTGGGGACACAACGCGCGTATAAACGTATCGTGTTTTAAAAAGATATGCTTAATGCACCTCAGGCACACCAAAATCCCAAGTAGAATACAACGGGAACGAACAAACAACTGCGAGCGCCCGCAACAATTGATACCGTTGATACATACCTATTGCTATAATTAATGAGCATTTTATAATGAAATTTTAGCCTCAGATTTAAAAATTTGGGGAATATGAAGTAATCGGCGTTTTTTCTTATACTTAATAACGTTCGTTCGTATCTCTTTTAGTTAACTAATCTTTTTCTTCGTGCGTCTAACGTTATTCTATACCGTAAAAATACTAAAGGGTTACCTTTAGTAACCGAAATGGCTTCGAACACGTCGATATTTACAGATTCCAGAAACTAACTATTGTGTTCTGTTTCTTTCCATCTTATTACGAACACTTTGTCGAATATCGTATTTTTCGTCATGTGCTCCTGTCGCCCTTATCACAAGTAAAAATACGTACTTTACGGTGCGCATTTTAAAAAAGCAAGGGCGAAATTAAAATCAACACGAAAACAAAACCTTTTAGAGCGCTTTTAAATGCGGATTTTGAGTAATGATCGTGCCCGTTTCCTTCTTTAATCTGAATCCATGGCAGATTCTGAAATAAATCACCTATCCGCCCGTGCGAGTCTGCGAAGGTAAATCCGCGGGTGTAAATTCGTGGAACGATACATCGATCATTGGGCCTTCCCGCGGCCAGACTGACGATCCTCATGCAAATTCCCATCCGTAGACGCGGAACGACGGTTTTGCATTATTAAGTCCCCTGCACACCCGGGTCCAGTTACATACGTACAGTATATCGCGCCGCCATTGGGCCGCGGCGCAATCTATCTGGGTAGCTTTTTCTTTCCCCTTGTCCTTTTTTTAGTGCCTTCCTCCGCGCCGTGGAACACCCGGTAGGTAACTAATAGCGGTGTAATCGCTCGTAATAGGTCCGGTCCTGCGGCCACGGTATGGGTTCTCGTAATTAACGAAGATGGTGGGGAGTATGCAGAAAGAGAGAGAGAGAGAGAGAGAGGCGAAGCAGGTAGAGTGTCCGTGGTATACGGTCAGGGCTGGAGATGTATTCGCGAATATGGCGAGACAAGCTACACATCCATGCGCGCGCGAGAAACTGCGGCCAAGATAGACTCTAACGAGCAAAATACGCGACCCCTTCCTTTATTTGGCGAAATTAGAACTGAAGAGAAGATTCTGAACAACTTTCTCTTATAGCGAAGAAAAGAGCTTCGAGTGAACTTTTCTAGTCGGTGATAAGCGACATTAAAACATATAGGTACTTGTTGCGATTTAGAAATTGCCAGTGTATCGAACTTTCGGGAAATTGTTAACTTCAATGAAACAAATGAATAAAGGGAGCACAGAGAACCTGACCATAGGTTCGAAAGAGGCGAATATTATCGCCTTGCTCTTCGTTCAAATGGCGAGGCGATCTCGTATGCATTTAAAGGCAATAAAGTTTCGTAATTTAATAACACATCCCGCGAGTCCTGTCACCTGTCTGATTTTCAATCATCCGGTGTATTATTTTCATGATAAATATGTACCCCCTTATAAAACCGACACCTATTTATTTGTCGCTATAAAAATTCCTTTTCTTCTCAAGAAAACAGCCCGTAATTGGCTTGATTGGCTTCTAATAACATTCGTCACCCGTATTAATTTATTCCCCGTCCACTTATACGGGCTTCCTGCCCGTGGAAAATTGCCCGACGTTTTCTGCCGTTTCGTAGTATAAATTAATCCCCGTTTCTTCCGCCATTTCGCCGTGTGGTAGTATTAATTTCGCGCTAATTGGATTTTATGGTCGCTTAGGTTTATTGACTGGCCCGACGAGAAGGAGAGGGAAGGGAAGAGAAGAGAGTAAAGCCGCGTCGCGGAACACGACGCATATTCATTAAACGCGCCTTTTCGCATAAGGGCAGGCGTGCGATTGGGACCTATCGAAATATACATATATCGATGGCCCAAGAGGATGCTGGCGCGGCCTTAACTTCCTGGACATCGCGAATGAAAATTCATTCGCCAATAAAAGACACGTGTTCCCGCACGCTGGGCCGTGTACATCCAATTGGACATCGATAAACATTTCTCTTATGTTCATCGTTTATTTGTCGATCAGTAAAACACTGCGGCCCGAGAGCGGTCGGACGGGCCCCTCTTCTGGGCCTCGTTCGACTTTCGTGGACACCTTTACACTCGTGAATCATACGATGCAACTTTTCTTCGTATGCTTTTTCTTTATCTGTCATTTGTTACTATTTCATTAACATTCCCTCCCCTCGCTTTGCAAATTAATCTTAATTCCCATTTTATTACCGTAGTTTCCCCTTATCAGATTGAATTGAATTTTTGCGTTACCCTATTTTCTCGTTACCGAAGACAGTCTCTCGAGACGGATTTTGTCTGCGATCGGTACAACACGCTGACGAGAGACTAGGAGGAGGTAGCCCCAAACAAGCTGTTGACGACAGGACAACGTCTCGTGGAATGTCGTTTCCGAGCGCGATAACAGATAACCGCGGGCATTTTTTTTTTGCGGGAGCCGCGAATACGAGGGCCGAGTGGCATTTGCGAGGGAGCGCGCGGATTACCAGATTCGTCCTGTTTATATGGCACTAAAAGCCGACTTGCCACGTAAGCCCGCGAGAGAGCGTGGCCACTTACCTTTACGGGCTCTTAAGATCTAATTTAGATTGGAGCGTTGCGACTCGGGTCCGCGCTGCTACCGACCACGGCGACGGACTAATCGTTCGACCGTGAGCGGGCCCGGCCAGTCTCGACCTGTCCCTATTGGTTTTAATTTTTTATCCCGTTGCAAACCCCCCAAAAGAGATAAAGAGGAGCCGCAGAAAGAGCGAGAGAGAGAGAGAGAGAGAGAGGGAGGAACGGAGCGCGGTTGAAGCGACGAGACAACCTCTCGTTGTCTCTCCGAATGTTCGGCTACGGCTACTTACTTTCTTTCTGGCGAACGACGCGGCTAATTAATAACCTCGTAAACGTTAACACGTATAGCGTGTTTAAACGCGGTTACTTCCAACGTGACACTCATCTCAGCCGGTTCTCATGCCAGCGTCGGGACAATTGGTAAACTTTAGTCGAGCGACATTCGCGCGAGCTTCGCTTCACTACTCCGGTCTCTCTGGCTTAATCTCGCTTTATAAGGTCCGGTTTAACCGACGTTGTTTAACTTTGAGCTCAGCTTCCTTCGTTCTTTGTCTCTTTCCAACTGTTGCTTTAGAAAGAGACAAACTTGAACTGAACCATAGACATATTATATCTAGACCGAGCGTTTGCCCTTCTTTGAGCAGTCGGGGTAGAAGTTCACGTAGATAAGGACAAACTGTCGTTCGCATGTGAACAAGAGAGAACGAAGTAGCACAAAACTGAGTTTGTCCTTTTCTACGTGAACCTCTACCCCCGCTGCTCAATGCTCGGTCTAGATTATAATATGTCTATGAAGTAAACTAAGATCAAAGTTAAGCGACGTTTGGTGAAACCGGGCCTAATTATTGTCAAAAATTGCGCCCCCAGTAATTTAATCGTTCGGTGTCCTGCCTCTCGAATGCCACGAGGATACCTAAAGCCACACGTAGTCGTAACGAAACTCTTTCGTGATTTTCCGTTTCTTAATTACCTACTCCGACGAGAGCCGGGCGCCATTTCGTCCCGAATTCGCTTCGAAAACCTGACTCGGCGGAATATCGCGCGCGGCCACCCCCGTCGCGCGCGTTCTCAATCTATCCGCCCGGTGGATCCATAAAATTTATCGTCCGTTCGCGTCGCATTTCGAGGGATCCACCTGTTCAAAGGGCCGCGCGACGCGCTTCTCGGTAAATCATTCCGAAGGATGCCTTTATATCCGCGGGGTGGGCCGGTGGTGAGTTTAATAAGGATGATTGTTTCCAGTGATC